AAGAATGGGGCACTAAGGGAATCTGGCCTTCAGGGCAGCAGAATTAAAGATCACATTGGTTACAGGTCTTAGGCAGAGCACAATCCAAAGAGCCCAAACCAGGTTGCCCCCAGAGGCTTATAGTAATCTATAGTAACCTAAAGCTTACTCAGTCCACAAAATGCAGCTGAAAGAAAATATTCTGGTAGCTCTGCTGGCCTGCTGTGCCTTAGTGAGTACTAGGTGACCTCAGGAAGAGAAGGAAAGGTTCCTGGCCAATACTGTAGAATGAATGAGGAACCATGCTAGATGCTTTCACACCTCTGTTCATTTAATCCTCACTACAACTCAGTGAAGTAGTAATTATAATGCTCATTTTATACATGGAAAAACGAAAATTCAGTTTTGTTGGTGAAACTAGCTCAAAGTCACCATACTAGAAAGCAAGTGATTGAATAGAATTTGATTTACTCTTTGCACTCTAAAGTCCATGCTCTGTTTTATCAACAATTAGTAAGTCAATAGAATTTATGAGTGGACTCAAAAGCTCTGGAAATTTGGGCAGCTTTTTGGAGAAAGTCCATGGCTTTCATTACACACTAAAAACGATCTGTGTCATCAAAGACTGAAACCCATGCTATTATTGCCTTAAAGGAAACTGAGGGGCCGGGAGGGTGTCAACCAGAATGAATTTGCTTATATTACTTCCCTTGGGAGTTTGAAATAGATGTTTTAATTTCGTTTACTACATCAGATTTAAGATATTTCCTGGACATATACTAAAAATGAAACAAACTGAGTTGTCAAATGTAGGAGAATATTAATAAGGTTCCACCGAAATTCTATTCACGTCATAGCCCAGTCCATCCTGTAACCCCAGGAAGATGTTCTCACACTTCTCAGACACTACTGCTGGAGACTCTTCCTTGGGCTAGCCAAGACAATACAGCTTAGTCAAGGATAAAATAAAATAACAAGCCTTAGATTTTAAACTACATAGTAATCCTACTTCACCTCAAATGTTCCTCCCCAGTACTGCCTCCTGAAATCCTACCAACGGCTGGCTCACCTCATGGAGACATGTATACTGCACATGATACGGGGCTACCTTCTCTTCCCCCTTGATCTCCACATTGATTTGTAGTCGTATAGCCCCTGAGACAGCTGATTTGTCTGTCCTCTTCTCTGAGAAGGAAAGAAGACCAAAGATTGATACCAGTACAACGACAGAGAGCTTATAGCCCCTCACCAGCTTTATACAAGAGAAAGGAGACATTGATTTAAGAATCTACCAGCAGGGTGAACTGACTTCAGAGATCCCATATTACATGAATATCCCTGGGCTGACTGGGTGGAAG